TGAATGGGCTATACAATAGGGGATATCACTCCTTTTTCCCTAAATCCATTCCCACCCGACTTAATGTTTGAACTTGAGATCTCCAACTTGATTTGAAATCTCAAGTTCTTAACCATTGAGCCACTATTTTCAGGGTTGATTTTTTCTAACCTATACCATAATGATAAAGGATAATAATGTATTAATTGCACCTTTTTGTAATAATTTTTTATAAGAAAACTTAATATTAAGTATTATTTTTAATTCAAATGCTACATGGAAGGTTTTAATTGGATAATTGATGAATTTAAAATTAAGTTCTATTTTTTCTATGCAAGCTAATGTAAAAAGATGTAATTAATACATCTTTAACTGTTCACTAAGAAAATTTGGGACTCAAGTGCACAAATTAGGAAAATTCTTTAAAAATTTGACTCAAGTGCAACTCTTTCAAAAGTTTAGGGATAAAATTGTAATAAGAAAAGTTAAAATTGGGACCAAATTAAGTAAACTTTGAAGTTTAAAGATTAAAGTATATTGGAACTAAAATTTGAGGGACCAAGTGATGTGATATTACCATTAAATTTTGGACGATTTTAACGGAAGCATGAACGGTGAGGGTTTTTTATGAATTCTTTTAAAGTAAAAGAATGACAATGATTCTATTTGCAAAGTTGGGGATTGTGGATAATTTATTTGTATAATATTTATTTATATCTTCCATATATCATTAAATAAATAATTATATATCATATTATAAATCTTAATAGAGTAAAAAAATAATTTATCATTAAATAATATATAAGATTATAAGAGTAAAATCAATTGATGTAAAACAGTAAGCAAAGGTGAGGATAGAACTTAGAAAGCCAACAATTGGCAGCTAACTAAATTCGTCGAGATCTCAACACATGGACAGCCACAACAGTGATCCCCACTGAACAATGTTTTGGTCCGCTCATTTGACGGGCGGCAGCCACAGCCACAGCCACCCATTTTTCGACCCTTCCGGATTTTGGATACATTGAAAAAATTGTACAAAGAAAATAGTTTTTCAATCATTTTTCAGTTAAACAGCCATAATCATGCAACACAACTAATTGTTAGGCCAACACAAAAAACATAATTGTATTTAGTTTAATTGTTAAGAGCAACTAATAACTATAATTGTTGACCAATATTTAATATGATAATAATTATTTATTACTTAACAATTTGACGTCAATCGAATATTTATAACTTGATATTCTTAAATATCCTAAATAATTATAAATTGATAAAATTAGATAAATTAAACACAATTATAATATTTTGTTGTGTAACCTTAGCAATTGGGTATGTGGCATGACCTTGGCCAATTTATACCAGCATCTTGTCACTTTCCGATTATCTAACGTTCAACTCGGTACGAAAGTAATCTAACATTCAACTTCAGTCCAAACAAAATCTAACGTTCAACTACAGTTCCAAACAAAAACATTGGACTCAGGAAAAGATATGATAAGAAAACATTGACGAGAATAACTGCGAATAACCACTAATTTTTTTTATATATATTAAACGATGAGTTATGTAATATTTAATGATTTTTTAAAATTTTATTTATTTATTTTAAAATTAAAGTTTAAAATTTTTAAAATAAAAATTTAAATTC